AAAAAATAAGTTTCTCCAATCTTCTCAAAACTCTGGATTCTGATAGAGGGTCATGAGACTTAGAGCTGAGTGCAAAAATGGAGGCTCTAGCCCCTTCCAGAGCTGAGATATGGAAACTCAAAAATTCGGCCCGAAAAAAAACGACAGTGGTACCCCTTACGTTTTTTTTTTTTTTGGGCGAAAAATTAAGTTTCTCCAATCTTCCCAAAACTCTGGATTCTGATAGAGGGCCATGAGACTTAGACCTGAGTGCAAAAATGGAGGCTCTAGACCCTTCCAGAGCTGAGATATGGAAACTCAAAAATTCGGCCCGAAAAAAAAACGACAGTGGTACCCCTTACGTTTTTTTTTTTTTGGCGAAAAAATTAAGTTTCCCAATCTTCTCAAAACTCTGGATTCTGATAGAGGGTCATGAGACTTAGACCTGAGTGCAAAAATGGAGGCTCTAGCCCCTTCCAGAGCTGAGATATCGGAAACTCAAAATTCGGCCAAAAAAAAAACGACAGTGGTACCCCTTACGTTTTTTTTTTTTTGGGCGAAAAAATAAGTTTCTCCAATCTTCTCAAAACTCTGGATTCTGATAGAGGGTCATGAGACTTAGAGCTGAGTGCAAAAATGGAGGCTCTAGCCCTTCCAGAGCTGAGATATGGAAACTCAAAAATTCGGCCCGAAAAAAAAAACGACAGTTGGTACCCCTTACGTTTTTTTTTTTGGGCGAAAAATTAAGTTTCTCCAATCTTCCCAAAACTCTGGATTCTGATAGAGGGCCATGAGACTTAGACCTGAGTGCAAAAATGGAGGCTCTAGCCCCTTCCAGAGCTGAGATATGGAAACTCAAAAATTCGGCCCGAAAAAAAAAACGACAGTGGTACCCCTTACGTTTTTTTTTTTTTTGGGCGAAAAATTAAGTTTCTCCAATCTTCCAAAACTCTGGATTCTGATAGAGGGTCATGAGACTTAGAGCTGAGTGCAAAAATGGAGGCTCTAGCCCCTTCCAGAGCTGAGATATCGAAACTCAAAAATTCGGCCAGAAAAAAAAACGACA